TCGATCATTGCGCAAAGGTTTCATACAAAACTATTATTTTAAAACGGTTGCTCGTCAATTTCGAAGCTTTTGCTTCAACTGTCCGAAAATGTATTGCTCTTTGGTGACAATCATCTCATCATAACGTCCAACAAACTGCGTTTCTGAATGCCGCAGTAAATCTAGGCGCATTGTGAATCAAACATTTCATAAAAAGTTGCAAAAAAGCAAGGAGTTGAAAATCATAATCATCAACATTACACACTATCTGAAAATGAGAAACACATTTCAACTATTGTGCCGTGATACATAAAGGATGATATACGAAGAAGCGATACTAAAAATTACAAAATACAAAAAGTACGTTACAAACTGCTTAGCAACATATTATGCATCAAGGGAGAGATCGTGGTTGGAGGAAGAAGATAAGCGGGATGGGGAGGGACAAAGAAACTCACAACACAGACGTCATTGAGGTCGGTTCCTTATCAACTAGTGTATCCAATCAAACGTGTTCATCGTCATTCGGTCCCCAGCAGTCGGGAAACACCAACCGACGCCAAGTTCGAAGTAAAGGTCTTTATTCTTCTTAACCGAGTCGTCGTTTGACCTCCCACCATCCATCCACACCCACAGCGCGCCAACAACACGTAACACGGGAGTCGGTGGACTGGCATGCGCAACACGTGGCCCAACCATCAGAGTCTGGTGTATGAAATAACGCTGCTGAGTGGTTCGCTCGCTCTTCCTGCACCAAATATACGACGTCGAACACGTTCGTTGCAAACGCGGTGCTCCCACTAGGCAGCGATGATTGAAAGTAACAAGCTACTTTGTTTGTCGACTTGATAAGTCAGGTTTCGCAACCGTACGGGAGGGTTGAACGGACGGCTGTACTATAAACTATGCCATTGAGGGCGAGAATGATGTTGCGTCGGCGCCATATGTGGCGGAGATGGGTAAAAGCATCACATCTTCCATCTTACTGGCGCTGATAGAGTTTCCTACATACCCGAATTTCTCGACGACTTCTAGCTAATCATCACCAAGGGGCAGCGCAGGGGTGGGTCCATACCAATCTTGGAGAAGGACTTTGGAGCTGGTTTGGTGTTGCTCCTCCCAACCCTGACACTCCTTAAAAAGTAGACTTCGGTCATTACGATCACAAGGACCGTATCCGAATTGTAGCTGGTTCGGTGTCGCTGTTCCCAAACCTGACACCCCATAACCGGTTTCATCCTCCTTCGGACTCATCAGATGGAGACAGCCTGAGCTGGAGTGGACCTCGAGGTCTAGTGGTTAAAGGCTGACGCCTTGATCACTGTGGCTCTAAGGTCCGTGAGCAAGGTTTGGCACAGCGGTAAGGAATACAAAACTGCATTTGGTGTACCCGCTGTGTGGTGTCAGGGTTGGGAGGAGCAACACCAAACCAGCTCCAATTGGGATCCGGTCCTTGTGATCGTAATGACTGAGGTCTACTACAAAGTGCACTGAGGTCTAAATAGAGATTGCGAGTCGCAAGCCAACCACACAGCGGGTAGAGCAAATGCAATTTCGAGGACTTTGCTTTTCGAAAAAGCAAAGCATAGCCCGAAACGACTGACAGCTAGAGCTAATTTGTCCAATGCTACTTGGCACGTTTGGGAGCTGCCACAGATAAGGACAATGTCGTTAGTGTGTTCCAAATCAAGATGTCGATCATATGGATGTAGATCCAAGCATTGTAGGTCGTGTCCAGCAAACGCAGTCTCCACGATTTCGTCGATGGAGAAATTAAAAAGTACAGGTAACACAGAGCATCCTTCTCTCACACCACCGGTGGGTGTTGAAGGGTGGTGACAGCTTGCCGTAAACCCGTACCCAGCCCGTACCATGCGCGTAAAGCGCTCCGATAATGCATATTTATTTTTCGGGCACACCTTCCCTGAGTAGAAAGTCCCAAAAAGCAAATCGATCAACCGACTCGAAGGCAGCTTCAACTTCGAAAAACACGACTGCGGTGGTTTACCGATAAATATGGCGGTGCTTCAACAATTGATGTAATGTGATTAACACAGGCGGGACTTCGACGAAACCCTGCTTGCTTCTCACGAATCAGGCTTTCATGAGTGCCAGCAAGTTTAGAAGAACGACGGAGGCGACTATCTTGGTGGCAATTGAGATCAGATTGATTCATCTATGGCTGACGCATTCCGGAAGTGAGTCTCATTTGAGGATTGGGACCATCACGGAACGGCTCCAGTCTGTTGGGACAGTCTCCTGCTACCATAAATGTAATAACTTATGCAAATCGTCCAAAAGAGCAGGTCCCCCGAATTTGGCGAGGGCTAAATGAAGTCCATCTGTTCCTGCGGCCTTATTCACTTTCAAGTCTGATCTCACGTTCGAATTCTTAGTGCGAACGCAGGTCAGGGGGACGGCCCATGGAGAAGGGCAATCATTGGACGATGGAGAAGGAAGAACTCTGGCTGATTAAGCTGCTTTTCAAAAGGTTCGGCCCAACGCTCTAAGCGTTTTCACCAACGGTTGATAGACCGTCCACCCTCGTCATTATGGTCTAGCTAACTCCAGGACTCCTTCTGCCAGTTTGGCATATCAGACGGAGTAAGTTCCGATGGCTAGCAAGAGCAGAGGCCATTTCCAATGCACGGTGAGACCACCAGGCTTCCCGGTCTCTTTGCTAGCATGCAGTTTTGTTCTGAGATCTTTGCGAGTCTCGTTGTGCTCGCTCCCAGCCAGAATGTATCGGCGAGCATCCAAACGTTCCAGAAACTGCATAGAGACCCAATGTCCGGGTAGGAAATTAGACTTGCCGCATGAAGATACGCCTGCTGCTAATAATGTCTGGTGAATATGCGACCAGTGGCCCATTACTGTGCTCAGAGAGCGCTTACTCTAGTCGGATGCCAGCGCACTTTGAGAATTCAGAATATCTGGCTTCGCCAGTTGGCAAGTAGCTATGCGTTCACAGTGTGGTCACATGCGTTCAGTGTAAGATCGGCGCAAACGAGTGCGTGGTCAGAGACCACGCTCGCGCGCCAAACCGAACGACAGTTTGGACACAGCCTCTCCAGCGGTAACTGATCGCGATGTCAGCGATTTGTGTCCATGAGTGGTAGGCGCCAAGTCACTCTCTAGCGGGTATTATGTCGGAAGTTAGTGCTCGCGAGATACAGACGGGCATTTTCACACAAGTGTAACGAAGGCTTACAGTTACTATTAAAAGAGTCTACTTCGTGTTCGCAGCCCAAATGCAGCTCATTAGTTGACAGTTTTCTAACGTAAGCGTTCAGATCACCAGCCAGCACCAGTGTGCACATTTCCCATAAATAATAAGTAAAATAATAAAAATAGTAACATTTCCCATAAGGAATGAGCTCATTCGGTTGGTGTTCGAATTCGTCTCTCACTGAGTCGGTGCTCGCTTGTGAAAGCGTAGACCGTAATGACAAACAGGCAACGTTTGTATGCGTGCGACTTCGAAGCTTTGAACGAGCCATCCATTAAAAAGACGAATGTCTGGTTGTTGATTGGGATCCAGTCAATAAGGGCAGCTTCAGCCCAGGGGCCCGGAGCAATGCCCACACCGGTTTAACCAGTATTTGCAACTACGGTATCTCGAGAGTAACGCAATACCGTCAGTGTCACTGATGGGGGATGACAGGGTGAGTACAGAACTCGAATCGTTCAAGCGGGTTTCCGATGCAGCAAATATCGACCGATAAGGACCCTGGTGATCCGGCAAATGTTGTCATTGATCTAAAGTGCGCACGTTTTGGTATGCCAATCTTAAGGAGGATCGGGGCTCCCAAAGAGAAAAGGATGAACTGATGCTATCCGCTTAGTTGAATAT